GCCACCAGGGAAGCCCCCAGACTGAGATATATTTTAACCATATATTACGAAGCATATAGCCCTTAAAAAAGGGCTGTTGGAAAGCAGCAAGGATAAGGTAAGATACACAGTCTGACAAAGTCTGATAAGATGAGATACACAGTATAACAGCAAATCTTAAATGAAGATTGCAGATGTGAGAAACCATATTTTTATATTACATTGGGAGGGTAAATAGGTGGAAAGCCATTTTAGAAGGCAATATGGTGTGACCTGTCAGTATTTAAAATGTAATTAATCACTGCTGCAATTCTACATCTAGGAACTTATCTTCTCGAAAAGCACAGGTGCAGAAATATAGATGCATAAGCACATTCATTACAGAATTGTAAAAAACTTGGAACAGTTTAAATGTCCAGCAGTAGTAAATTTGTTACTTAATTGTGGAAAATCAGTTCAGTAGATTATTAAACAGTCACTGGAAAGAATGAGGTGGATGTCTATGCTCACAAAACAATGCTTTGTAGTTTATTGAGAATGTAATTTTCATAACTATATAATATGGCATAGTTATAAACACATAAACTTTTTAAAGTTAAAATTATGAAATGTGTTGTTTTTGTCTACAGTACAAATAGAAACCATGCATACACAAATACAGACTCCTTCCCCCAGCTGTGTTGGTTGGGCTGTTCTGATGTCATTCGCTGAGGTTTTGTTTGCATTGCCAGCTATACACAGTTCACTTTAATCCAGTCATATACTCTCTCCTTGGGACTCAGGAGGAAGCTGAATATGAGTCATCCTTTGGCCACAATTTTAAGATGGCTCCTGAGTTCCTGCTGCTCTGCTTGCTAGAGCTGACCTGTTTCATGTTCTGGTAGGTTGTTTCCCACAAGCATTTTGTTTTCATTTTATTTTATTTATTTATTTACTTATTTAATTTATTTTTTGCTGTGCTGGGTCTTTGTTGCTGTGCACGGGCTTTCTCTAGTTGCAGCAAGCGGGGGCTACTCTTTGTTGCGGTGTGAGGACTTCTCATTGCGGTGGCTTGTTGCAGAGCAAAGGCTCTAGGCACAAGGGCTTCAGTAGTGGCGGCACATGGGCTCAGTAGTTGTGGTGCATGGACTCTAGGGCATGCGGGCTTCAGTAATTGTGGTGTGTGGGCTCAGTAGTTGTGGCTCCCAGGCTCTAGAGCACAGGCTCAGTAGTTGTAGCACATGGGCTTAGTTGCTCCGTGGCATGTAGGATCTCCCCAGACCAGGGATCAAACCCATGTCCCCTGCATTGGCAGGCGGATTCTTAACCACTGTGCCACCAGGGAAGTCCCTTGTTTTCATTTTAAAATTAGATTAAGTTCTTTTGCTGTCAAACAAGGAAACCTACCAATATAGAAATTGGTAACCTTGAATGGGTTTTAGGCAAAAGATCCTTAGAAAATGTGGAATTATTATTAAAGTACGGTTATTGGATGAAATGGAGCAAAGCAGTGTGAGGCTCCTAATCATATTTTGTGCCATGGAAGTAATATGCCTTCATAGCAACTGTAAAACAGCTGATCAGCTGCGGCCTAGATGGCTTTTGCTTTGGACGAATTCAAAGAGGACAAGAAGTGCCAGTCCAAGAAATATGTATGATGTTTGTTCATAGTGGAACTGAATAGCATAAAGCAAGAAGAAAAAAGGGCTTGTTTCTTAAAATTTTTGCTTTAAGGCATGGAGTAGAACACAAGCCATTTTTGTAACATAGTTGAAAGACTTGCTTGTAGCTATCAGGCTGTGCTTGCTAACTATCAAAGAATGAGCTACAGTGCCAGGTTAATTCACAATTTTGGCAGGTCTCTTAAGTAGAATGTTTGATATTAATTAGGAACAGTTGGTATCCTGGTTATTGGAATGAGGACTTGTGGGAGAATTTTGAGATTTTGAAACTCTAAGCCGCTAAGAAACCTTAAAACAAAAAACATACCAACTAATTCACATTTGCCTGAGATAGCCATGGGTGAAGGTTAACCAATTTCCCTTTTAGCTTACCAATATTATGGCTTCACTGATTTAAAAACAAGAAAGGAAGAATGGGGGGATGAAGGAAGGGAAGAAAGAAAAGACAGAAAGAAAGGTCTGATTCTCAAGTGGTCTAGAGGTTGATATAAGAAAAGAGATTAGGAAATGGATGAAGGACTCCCCAAAGTATTTATCAACATTCATATCAGAATCTAGAAAATGGCCTCAGGAATGGGTTTTAATAGTGCTTGGCCTCAAAAGTTGGAATAAAATTTTGAGCTGGGTTGAATTTATTTATAGGTTTACACATCAGGAATTACATATTCAATGTGCTAATTTGTGCAGCTTATTGCTTTTCCAATAGTTTTCTGGGTAGACAAATGCAATCAATCTATTAAGTCCTAACTGATGACTAAATGACATTGAACGACCAGAAATGATCTTGCCTGATACACAGGAAAGACCTGGGAAAACTTGGGGATGCTGAATTTGCTTTCTTATTAGTTTCTCTCTTACTCTATCATTAGGTTCCGTGAGACAGGGCCAAATGCCTTTCCTTGAATCCATGCCATGGGGAAAGCATCACTATATTCAGAAAGTGCTTTATGGCCATTCCTTTTTTTTTTTTAAGTATTTTTAAAAATTTATTTATTTATTTTTGGCTGCGTTGGGTCTTCGTTGCTGCGCGTGGGCTTTCTCTAGTTGTGGTGAGCGGGGCCTACTCTTTGTTGTGGTGCACAGGCTCCTCATTGCAGTGGCTTCTCTTGTTGAGGAGCACAGGCTCTAGGCACACGGGCTTCAGTAGTTGTGGCTTGTGGGCTCTAGAGTGCAGGCTCAGTAGTTGTGGCGCACAGGCTTAGTTGCTCTGTGGCATGTGGTATCTTCCCGGACCAGGGCTCGAACCCATGTCCCCTGCATTGGCAGGTGGATTCTTAACCACTGCACCACCAGGGAAGCCCTATGGTCATTCTTAAGATGCTGGGCTTACTGGGGTGGGGGCTGCTTCTGAACTCCCGTAAATGCAGGAGCCCAGGAAAGCTGAGCTCCAGATAGCAGCAACTTGCCAGGTGCAAGAAGTCAATTCAGGGGCCATATCATTTAAAAGTCTACAAATAACAAATGCTGGACAGGGTGTGGACAGAAATGAACCCTCTGCACTGTTGGTGGGAATGTAAACTGGTGTAGCCACTAAGGAGAACAGTATGGAGGTTCCTCAAAAAACTAAAAATAGAGTTACCATATGATCCAGCAGCCCACTCCTGAGCACATATCCAGAAAAAATTATAATTCAAAAGGATACATGCACCCCAATGTTCATAGCAGCATTATTCACAATAGCCAAGACATGGAAGCAACCTAAATGTCCATCAACAGAGGAAAGAAAGAAGACGTGGTACTATATACAATGCAATATTACTCAACCATAAAAAAGAAATGAAATAATGCTATTTGCAGCAACATGGATGGACCTAGAGATTGTCATAGTGAGTGAAGTAAGGTCAGACAGAGAAAGACAAATATAATATGATATCACTTATATGTGGAATCTAAAAAAGAGGTACAAATTAAGTTATCTACAAAACAGAAATAGAGTTACAGATGTAGAAAACAAACTTATGGTTACCGGGGGAAAGAGGGGGATAAATTGGGAGACTTGGATTGACATATACACACTACTATATATAAAACAGATAATTAATAAGGATGTACTGTATAGCACAGGGAACCCCACTCGATACTCTGTAATGACCTATATGGGAAAATCTTAAAAAGAGGGGATATACGTAAATGTATAACTGACTCACTTTGCTGTATAGCAGAAATGAACACAACGTTGTAAAGCAACTATACTAAAATAAAAAAATTTTTTTAGAAAGTTCATACAGTAAAACGTACTCATTTTGGGTGTAGAATTCTAACTTTGACAAACTCATACAGGCATGTAACCTCTACAACCAGGATGTAGAGGACCCAAGAATTCCCTTACGTCTTTTGTAGTCAGTCTCCTCCTCCTGCCCCCAGCCTCTGGCTACCACTGCTTTGTTTCCTGTCTTATATAACATTATAGGGTGTCACATAAGTGGAATCACACAGCATGTAGCCCTTAGAATTTTTGATGATGACTGTAATAATAGCATTATGCCTGGCTGTTGTTTGTGAGGTCATTCACTGAGCCAACAATGTTCTCAGCTCCTGGGATAAAGAAAGCTCTGGAGGCAGGTGAATCAAGATAGCAGAATAGAAGAGAATAGAAGGACGTGGAGCTCACCTCCTTCCACAAATACATCAAAAGTACATCTCCACGTGGAACAGTTCTCATAGCATAACTTACTGAATGCTGGCAGAAGAACTCAGACACCAGAAGTGCAGGAAATATCACCATGTAGCAGGGTAGGATGAAAGAAAGAAAAAACAAACAAACCGGAGGAAGCAGGACAGGACCTGTGCCCCTAGGAGGGAGCTGTGAAAGAGGAAAGGTTCCTGCACCCTGGGAAGCCCCTTCAAAGCCCTTTCAGCTGGGACAGAAAGGGAGCCTCAGAAGCTTGGAGGAGAGCACAGCAGCTGGTTGGCAGCAGGCAGAACAGAGAGAGACTGACATAGAGGGTCTGTGCTACCAAGCTGCACTTCCCAGCCCAAGAGGCGTGCAGCTGGGGGTGTATGGGGAAGAAACCCAAGCCCACCACAGGGGCGAAGCACCACTCTTAAGGGGCATGTGAAGGGGGGGCGCCATAGCACCCTCACTCTTGGTGTGCTCACAGCAGGTGCATGGCCATTGAAACCCCACTGTAACACATGAAGGGCTCAGTTATGCATCTGTGGTCAGCTGTGGGTTGGATGGGGGCTGGCTGGTACAGAAGGGCTCAGCTGACTCACAT